TGCAGGTTTACTTGTGGTTCCTAGAGTTTCCAAAAGCACAATGGGAGGCTGAGCTTTCAGTTATCAGGCTTCTCTCTTGTGGAACCAATTTCCAATTTCTGTCCAAGAGTCTGACACATTGTCCAGTTTTAAGACTGGACTTAAGACTTTCCTTATTGATAAATTCTGTAATTCGGGTTGTCTTGGGTTTCCTGAGCTATCCCTTAGTTTTGCTGCTACAGGCTTAAACTACTGGAGGACAAAATTGACCACATTTCATCAAATGAATAGTTACAAATGAGAAATTTGTATTTGTAATTATATTTCTATCTTAACATGTTTTTTGTCTTTTCTCCTCATGAGGGACCTGCTCGCCTCCATTCTGGACCTGCCATTGTGTATCTGTTCCTCCTTCCTGTCCTCACAAACCCAGCCGGTCAAAGCAGATGGCCGCTCGTCCTGAGCCTGGTTCTGCTGGAGGTTTCCTCCTGTTAGAAAGGAGTTTTTCCTTTCCACTGTTGCCTTGTTCTTGCTCAGGATGGGACTTTGACGAAATGAAGACTCAACGAGTCTGCTGGTCACCCTAACCTACCTTAGTTAAATAATGTTACTAATATAATTTTTATGCATGTGAATGTTTCTGTTCAGTGTCCTGAGAACTTCTGTTGTGACTTGGCGCTATATAAATAAACTGAATTGAGTTTAATGTGCGCCATCTTGCAATATGTTGTGATATTGTTCATAATGTTTTTTGTCAGGGTTTGATCACAGTAGCTACATCATCATTTCACATTATAAGATGATCTTAATTTAAAACTGTAAGGAAAGACGATAAGCAATGTGCATTCCTCCAAAGAAAGTTCTGCATTCAAATCTTGGAGGGACTCCACCTGGCATTTAAAGGCCAAAACGCTCTAGTTTGACTTGAGCGTTCCTGCAGCAGGTAAACACATTTGTGAAGTGGACAGTTGTCCACTGGCTGCACAGAATGAGCTGTTCTGATCCTCATGAATTCACAGCAGTCATATCTGGCACAGCTTAATAGAAAGTCCAAAGTCCTGTTTAACGTTTTGTCCTTCCTTCCGTGAGAAAACCCAGCTCGTACTCGCATGCAACTGAAAACACTAGGCCCATGTGTGTTTGTGGAGTGGTGATGGAGGCGGGTGGGAGACATGTGTCATGGACGTTGTTGATTCCTCTGTCCTTGTCTACAGCTTTCACAGAGGCTTATCCGTCCTGGCTGGCTTGCCACGCTGGAGCTGTTTGGATATCTGGAAGGTGTGATACCGAGCACGTGTGCGAGTGTGCATGTGTGTTTCTCGGGAGGGTCGGCCTGTAGAGAGAGCAAACTTTCCACCCACAGAGTGAGATAGGCGAGTGTCTGTCTTCTGAGGTGAGCAGGTCTGTCCCTGTATGTGTGTGGACAAAAAGAGTTGTCTCTCCTCACAGGAGATTAAGGCTGGGCATAACATTCAGCCAAATGTTCTCATGTCTTCTTCTGATAAAAGAAAAATCTGAGGCTCTATTTTGGTCCCAACCACCTACAGAGAAAACTGCAGGAGCAAGCTGCACTTCAGTTTCTGAACACTCTTTCAGATCCATTTTCCTCACTCGAATGTACCAATATGTGCTGTAATCGCCTGCTATTTAAAGTGTAACGAAGCTCTAATCCTCATTCCACCTTGTTCTCTGGAAGCAGGGCTGTTCAGACACAGACAGAGCAATTCTCTTCTCTTTTTTCTGTTTTGTAACCATTTCTCTCTGACAAATTTTACTTTTGATTCAAATTGAACATATTTTCTGAGTTGTTAGCATGTTTTTCACCAAACATTTCAGATCTGCGTCATCTTGAGTGAATTAGGAGGGTCAGTGCACGGGGACTGATGGACCCTTGCTCTGATGTTGGTACTTTCTTCCATAAGTTCTTTGTAATCAGTGTGTAATATGTGTATTCAGTGTGTGTAATATAT